GGCAACTTGCAAAGCACAAGGAAAACTAAATCATGCAGCTTTATTCTTCCAAGACCTGATTTTCAGTAAGACGGGAATAACCACCAATCCTAGGGTTTTAATGACACAATAAAAGGCTTAAATTATGGATCTCATAGAGTCAGAAGAATACCTGTGCTTATTCACTCACTCATTCATTCTTTCATTCACTTTTTCCAATTACTCTGTTCAGACAAAAAGAGACAGGAGGATTCATTCTTTCTGTTTGGATGAAGACATGGGGATTTCCAGAGGGGCAATATATTAGGTCTACCTGACTCTCAGAAACAAGTTGCTGGATTTCTTTTCCAGGTTTTTAATTGAGTTTAGGGTGGATGAGAAAGTGAAATATGGGAATTAAAGCTAAGAGGGCAGATGTTACCGTCGGTCGGTCTAACATAGCTGAAATTCTGGCTGTGACTTAGCACCACCTGAGCTTGCCTGAGCCATGTGTCTCTCAGAACCTGAACTCATCCATCTGTAAGGTGGGGACACCACCTGCCTTATGGGTTCGTTCTAAGGCCTGGGACAAATGTCATTTCAAATCATCATTATTCCATAAAGGGAGACATCTCATGACTGTTAAACTCACCAGGAGCCTCCTAACGATGGAGCACCTCAAGTTCGGCACCCTGAAATAGTGGTGGAAAGTAGTCCCCAGAGCTGTTGCAAAGATGAAATGAGATAACTATTGTGACTATCTTGGCCTTATGCCTGAATGTTATCTGTATGCTTGATGTCAAATGCTCTTATTATCTTTGGGGTCAAACAGAGGTGCTCATATCCCAGTAAGACACTAACTCTGTGACTGTGAACAAATTAATTGATGAATACACTACCTTATTTCAGAAAAGATTCAGTGTACCTTGTCAAAGTATCTCAGATTCCTCAACCACACAATGGGACTGTTTGATTATTAAAGGAGAAGACCTACAGAAAAAGAGTTGGTCATTTTTTTGTTTGTTTGTTTTATTTTTCTTTTATTCCCCAAACCCCTTCTCTGCTCTGCTCTATGCAGAAGACTGAGACGTTGAATGGTGGTGGGGGTCCCAGCCTCAGAGAACAGAGGAAGAGAATTTGGGGACAGACCTTACAGCACTGTTCATTATGAGCAACCCATAGATTATGGCATTGCCTGGAATGGGGACCACCCCCCAGTTGATTCCCAGGGTAGAGATGCAGGTAACTCAGGAGGAAGAGAGGCAGAAATCGAGGTGTGCCACCAGGAAGAACATCATTGTCAGTGACATGCTAGTAACAGGAAGTGAAGGTGTCCAGAATTACAAAAAGCTAAAGTGTGGCCTTGATGCTGGAACCATCTAACCACTGGATTTAGGACATCTGTGGAGCTTTTGATTCTTCATAAATGAGACAAGGGGGTTATTTTACAGGCTAATCTCGAGATACTTGCTATCTCCAGTGGTCTGTTTGTCAGGAGTTGGACTTTCCCTACTTCTTCCTACATGCTTGAAACTTGCTCTCCGAGGTGCAGCAAATTTCTTCCTGTCCTTTGCTTTTGGTTTCCCTGTCTAGCCGTGAAAATCCCTCTTTTGAAAGGCAATTTGGACTTTAAAGCTGTTCATGTTGTGGCTGATCTCTGCTCTGCTCTATGCAGAAGACCGAGACGTTGAATGGTGGTGGGGGTCCCAGCCTCAGAGAACAGAGGAAGAGAATTTGGGGACAGACCTTACAGCACTGTTCATTATGAGCAACCCATAGATTATGGCATTGCCTGGAATGGGGACCACCCCCCAGTTGATTCCCAGGGTAGAGATGCAGGTAACTCAGGAGGAAGAGAGGCAGAAATCGAGGTGTGCCACCAGGAAGAACATCATTGTCAGTGACATGCTAGTAACAGGAAGTGAAGGTGTCCAGAATTACAAAAAGCTAAAGTGTGGCCTTGATGCTGGAACCATCTAACCACTGGATTTAGGACATCTGTGGAGCTTTTGATTCTTCATAAATGAGACAAGGGGGTTATTTTACAGGCTAATCTCGAGATACTTGCTATCTCCAGTGGTCTGTTTGTCAGGAGTTGGACTTTCCCTACTTCTTCCTACATGCTTGAAACTTGCTCTCCGAGGTGCAGCAAATTTCTTCCTGTCCTTTGCTTTTGGTTTCCCTGTCTAGCCGTGAAAATCCCTCTTTTGAAAGGCAATTTGGACTTTAAAGCTGTTCATGTTGTGGCTGAGGAAAGTATTTCTGTTAATGGATGTAGCCACAACTAGATTTGCTTTTAAAAGGCTGATCTCTCAATAGTCACATTTGGCTTTCTACCTCCATTTTATTTATCTAGATTGAAAACCAGTTTAATGTTTCAAGATGTTGGTTTGGGGGAAAATGTTTATAGAATTCTTTTATAGAGAGACAATGACCCATGTATAAGGAATATTTACTTAATCACTAATGCAATCATTGATTCAGTTTGGGAAAACGAAGTCTTTGGGGAACATGGGTCCTTCTTTTGTCTTTGTTGTTTGTTTAAAAATGATCTGAAATGCCTCACTGAAAATAAAGCACAAAAATGTGAAATATGGATTTTCATTTGCATATATTTGATTCCTCAGTAGTAGAGGGGATACTGTGCATTACAGGATATGTCCACAATTGAAACAAAAGATTTTGGTTCTTTCTTAGGGGCAATAACATTAATATTGCTATTTTTTAAATAAATGTTTTGGCATCAGATATCTGCTGGTATTTTCCAATTTAAATTTGCAACTTCTATGACTATTTAGTTATCAGCAGAGGTGCCAAATACAATTTTTTGGTAGAGAAACCAAGATAACATGATTGCTCCTCAGGTTCACAAAATAAACTGGAGAAAGACAGAGTTGTTGTCCTAGGCATAAGGCTTTGCTGCAAGTAAAAGGAATATATACATACCTGAGGCTTAATTTTAAAAATAAACAATATCAGAAAATCAGATTTCAAAGATGACTACTTCCCCTAATCCCACTTAAGTTTAAAATGAGGCAGCTTATGTGTTAAGATTTCTTTAGATTCAAATCCTATTGTCCTCACTTTTAATTCTAAGTGCTATTAGAAACTATATGGAAATACAAGTTATACATTAGGAAGTGTGGCAAAGGGGCTTTGGCTCAGACTTCCGTGGTGATCATGCTAAGAAATAACCGAAGAAACAAAACTCACGGAAATGAACATATTCATTTTCACATTATCTATTACAGGTAAAAATTGGAGACAATTTATAAGTCAAATAGTAAAACATTTAATAAGTAAAACAGGGAACCTACACTGAGTAGACTGACCTAGAGCCATTGACAGAAACAGCTTTGGTAACAACATGGAAAATCTGTGTGAAACTATGACCAGACCTAAAGAAAGAAAGAAAGAAAGTGAAGTCGCTCAGTCGTGTCCGCCTCTTTGCAACCCCGTGGACCGTAGCCCACCAGGCTCCTCCGTCCATGGGATTTTCCAGGCAAGAACACTGGAGTGGGGTGCCATTTCCTTCTCGAGGGGAGACCTCCTAAGGGAACATGTAAGAATGAAACCACCATGTTCGATGTATGAGATTAGCGGTAATACATTTACAAAAGAAATCCTTTATTATTGTGATAAAATTTCTCTTTGCAATTGAAGATTGAATCTAGAAGAAAAAATTCTCTGATAGGACTCAGTGAAGTTGGAAGGGAAAGAAATGAAGGTTTATTTCTGTCTTAGGGATTATCAGTTGCCAGAAGGAGAACCCCACTCAACCCAGCTTAAGTAAAAGGGAATTTATTGCAAAGAGACTATGAGAATACAGAATCCTAGCTGGGCTGCAGGACAGGGTGAGCCTAGAACTAGACAAGGAGCTACGGGCACATCCTGGCCTCACCAGCCACATGAACAAAGCGTTTTAAATGAAGACCAGATCCAACCCCAGTCTTGCATGACCCTGAGAGTGTGAGCTTCCTGGCCTCACCCTCATCATGCCCATGGGTTCTATATTTACAACTCTGACATTTGGTTCATCATGGACTTGCATTAAGTTTTATTTATTAAAATGCTGTAATAAACTGTCCATTGTCTTAACTCTTGAGGTTTTTTTTCCACTCTCCCTTCAATTTTGTGCCCACAGAGAGTGCCTCACTCACCTCCCACCGATCCCTCCCCTGACTATAACAGAATTTGAAATTCTTCCATAAAGTCTGTCCTTGGATTATGGTATTGTTTCCCAAAAGGCTCTTTGTGATCTTAGCCCATTACCTGATAATAACAGATGAACCCATTAGTAGGTATTTTCATGCCAGACTGACTGTGTTCATCAGATGAGCTGAGAGTGATCACAGGGCATAAAACGTTTGATTAGAGAGAGCAAGAAGACAGGAACAGCCTGCCGGGGGGAGGCCCCTGGAGGGAGAGACGGGGCCAGAGCAAATGCACACACTTTTACAGCGCCCCCCATCCCCAACCCAGCCTCTCACCTTCCTTTCTCTACCAGCCCCCAGTTAGGGTGGAAACTAGCCTTTTGCGATGGGTCTGCCCATGCCACAGATAGACTTCCCTCTAAAGAGCAGTCCACTAAAGGGACTTATGATGTTGCTTCCTTCAACCAGCGGCCACCCCTGGATGCCCAGCGCTGCCCTCCTAAAGCCCAGACAAGCCTTTCCTCTTGAGGCGCTCATCCTCAATCCCCACGTGAGTCTCACTTGGCCTCGTGTACACTGGTAGTTAAGGCGTATCAGGAGGAAAGATGATGACTGACGCTTGCTTACTTGCGTGTTTCCCGTGGAAGAGAAATGTCACTTGTGCCCATTGGTTTTCCTGCATTTGCCATTCTCTCTTCTGTTCTCTCTTTCCGTTCTAATCTGCTCCTCACACTTCCTCCTGCTCTCCCTTTTGCCTCCTACTCCTCACCGTACCCCAGTATTTCTTTCTAAGTCATGGCCCAGCTGCTAAGGGATCTGTCATCTTTAGAACCTCTTGTCACAATGGATGCAAAGAAGAATCCTTCTAATGGGAGAAGCCCAGCTTTTCCTGGAGGGTGAATCACTCGAGTCCGAGCAGAAGGAGCATTAGCCGCCTTCTCTCTGTGCAGGCTTCCAAGTCTTCCCTTTGGGTTACTGAGCTAATCACGTCTCCTTCTTCCTCTAGGAAGGACCTGAGGCTGCTCCTACGTCACATGTAGGAGCTGATGGACCTGATGGCAGATGAGACTAGGGAGTTACTGATAGCCAGCCTTTCCTAGGACTGGATGCCCAGAGGAGAATGCACCTGGATTTAATTACCAAACCCATGGAGAGTTCCAGGAATGTCCAATCTCGGTGCCATCTTCAATTGTTTCCCTTATTTGGTAATTAATTACCACATCTGTCAACTGCATTTTTTTAAACCAGTCATCACGATCCTGGATACTCTTGGCTGGTCTTTAAACATCTAAACTTCATGGTCAAGACAATGGCATTCACCTTCCAATTTTCATTCTTGTATTTCATCTGCAAATCATTTGCCTTCAAAGAAAGTAACTGAGTAGTTCAAACGTCCTGATTCATCTGTTCTTGGCAGACCTTGTAGAGCCTCAATAGAAGGATTTTACAAATCATCCTCACCACACACAGTCCATACAGCCCCGTATAGTGCCTATTTTAACACCAGAACCTAACAAGAAACTAGAGAAACAGGAAGACTTCAACTGTAAGTTTCCAACCTTAATTTATTCCCCTCTTAATATAGCAAGACCAGATACACTCAAGTGTCAAAGACACTAACCACTGTTTCTAGCAATTTTTCTGGGTTTAAACCCATGAATTCATACTTATATATATAACTATTATGCTCTTTAATTATATCAACACACTCTGTAAACATATTTCTTCTGAACAAACTCTGGAGATGATGGCACTTTGGCTAAGTGGTCCACTGGGCTTGCTCCTAGGTTATTCGAATAAAACTGGGAGTGGAAACCAGGGCCACTCCCCCACCGTTTCTCCCAGTCTCGTTTCTGTCCACCTTTATGCAGCCTCCAAAATGGGAGCACAGAGGGCCTCAGCATGTGCTGCTGCCCTGCTCCCCGCCAAGGGACACTGTTTCCCTGGAACACAAAGTGTGTTTTATGCAATGCATCAACCAGGTTTCCACCACCCGCTAGCAGCACAAACCTCCAATCAGGCTCAGGACCAAGCTAAACTATTGTCTTTGTTTTGTTCTTGTGCCGTCAGAGGGTCCTCCACGAAGCCAGAAGCAAACAATGTACAACCCAATAGTGGAATCACTTCAGTGTGGGTTCAGACAGACCCATGCTTAAGAGCTGCTATATCACTTAAGAGCCGTGACCTAGGGCAATCCATCCACATTTTCTCAGCCTCAGTTTTCACATCGCTAACCTTGGGTTAATAATGTGCACTGTAGTGGCCTCTAGCAGATATAAATCACAAAGCATCACTCCAGGAACATTTTAGGGGATCAATAAATGTGAATCTGCTCCGTGTCACACATTTTTCCTTGCCTTTTTGAATCCTCCATTCTGAGAAAGGATGGCCAATTACCATCTTCTAGAAGAGAAAACTGTCCAGTATTACCAGTAGCGAGCGCATCAAACATGAATGATTACAGCTACCCTGGGATCACAGCAACTTACCATGTCCTTTACATCTAGGGGATTGTCCAGCTTCGGACTTTGGGTAAGAGAGGACCCCAAAGCATCATGTACATTTGGCACAACACAAGCAACAGAGATTTTAATGACATCACCTCCCAAGGGAAAGGCCAGCCAACTTAAGGTAAGCTGCTGTAGTCCTTTCTACACGATTTAACATCTGACAGTTTGCAGAGTCTAGCCAGCCATGGTGCTGTGTTTTATTACCGGCCATTGAAAATAATTAGTTGGTGACCCAGAAAACTGATATATAAAATCCTTTTAATCACCAATATGGCTTTCAATTATATAGCGTAAACTTATTAACCTTTTTACTGCGGAGACTTGATTTATGGAATTTATCTACATGACCATTATGAGCAGAGATAAAAAGTGTATTATCTGAGGTGTTGGCATTAACAATAAAGAACTGCTTTTCCCCATCGTGGAGTCTTAAGTGGCGATGGCAGCCTTCTGGGAAGTCTCTAGGGATTCATTTGTCTCCTGCAATCACTCGGCAATGGTTGACTGAGGACGTACTGTCTGTGTGTGTGGCTTTGCGACTTAACAGGGTAAAGTTTCACTACCTCAGCATGGTCCCAGCCTTAACTGGGGTTAGTTTAACCCAACCCAAACTGTTCCAGCTTCCTCTCCTAAAAATTCAGCATCCTCCAATGAGCCCGGCTTTTCTCTGTGCTCCATTTGCTGGACGTGTGTGTTTTCTCTTTAATGGACCCACCTATGCCTGCCAACAGCCAAACACACACACACCCAACTCCCATCCACACATCCCCAACCCCATACATACTCATAACCCCGCTCACACCTAAACCCCCCACAACATCCGCACACAATCCCATATACACATGCATACAACCCTGACACACACACAGCATTCCCATGGTGCTACACCCTCAACCCACCACACACATGTATAATTCTCCCCCACACACCCTCCATACACACCACAGTCCCTACACACAGCCTTTACACACACAGCATTCCCGCAGTGCTATACCCTCAACCCACCACACACATGTATAATTCTCCCACACACACCCTTCATATATACCCTTGATACACACCACAGTCCCTACACACAACCTTTACACACACAGCATTCCCGCAGTGCTACACCGTCAACCCACCACACACATGCATAATTCTCCCACACACACCCTCCATACACACCCTCCATACACACCACAGTCCCTACACACAGCCCTGACACACACACAGCATTCCCATGGTGCTACACCCTCAACCCACCACACACACTTATAATTCTCCCACACACACCCATAATCCCTCCATACACACCACAGTCCCTACACACATACCCACAACCTCACGACACACATATACCTTCCTAACCAACCCCCAAGCCCCACACCCACCACTTCACACATACCTACTCGCACGGTCTCCTTCACACATACAACATACATGCACGGTCCTCCCATACTCACTCACACACACCTGCAACTCCCCCAAAGCACACACATGCAATCCTACACCCACACACATTACACAGAAGAAACCTCCCTTCCACATACACTAACACACGAACTCCTTTCTCTCTCATTTTGTTCTTGGTTTTGGTCTGGTATAATTTTATTTTCTTTCTTTATTAAAGTACACTTGGTTTACAATGTTGTGCTAGTTTCAGGTATATAGCAAAATGAAGCCGTTATATACACAGTAAATTTTCAGATTCTTTTCCCTCATAAGTTACTACAAAATATTGAGTATAATCACCTGTGCTGTACAGTGGGACCTTGTTAAGAAGGTCCACTTTATGTACAGTAGTGTGTGTATGTTAATCCTAAACTCCTGATTCATCCCTTCCCCGCTTTCCCCTCTGGTAACCGTAAGTTTGCTTTCTGTGTCTCTGAATCGATTTCTGTTTTGTAAATAAGTTCATTTGTACCATTCTCTTTTAGATTTCACATGTAAGTGATATCATATTTGTCTTTTTCTGTCTAGCTTACTTTACATAGTTGACAATGTCTAGGCCCATCCACATTGATGCAAATGGTATTATTTTGGCACTTAGAAGACATGGAAGCAAACTAACTGTCCATTGACAGGTGAATGAATCAAGAAGGTCTGATAGGTAGTATTCCACTGTGCATGGCAATAGATGCTACACACACACACACACATACATACACACACCATGGAATACACACACACATATACATACTCAACCACACAAAAGGGCAAGCCCTTTCTCTGACTGGAGAGCATTTTCTCATTTAGGGTCATGTGGAATTTCTCTAATCTCGAGGGCAGAGGATGCCACTGCCTCGTTCCTGCTACTTCACTCTGCTGAGGGGACTCACCAGGGACCAGAGTACATGCCATCGCAAAGGACGAGGCCCTCCTTGTCATCCGGCATATGTGCCTCCTTCCTGGGTCACGCCCAGCCGAGGGGACTGCCTCTCAGCGAGCTGAGGGCGCAGAGGAGGCGGGCAGCAGCGCTCTGCTCCCAGGAGCCTTTGTCTCTCCCAGTGGAAGTGCGTATGTGCACGCACTTGAAGCAAATACAAACAACCAATCAGAAAACACGTTTTAAATAACATACTGCATGGGTAGAGAGGGAGGATGCACAAGAGCTGTCAAAACACAATTTTGCTACTTCGATAGTGTGTGTGGTGATGACTCGGAGCAGGAAGTGGCCCGAGGGATAAAACACCAAGAGGAGCACCGGAGTGGCGCTTCAGGAAATAACCAGACCTCTAGCTCACCTAGCGGGCCTACCGGACATGAGGGGCCAGTGGTGACAGGGTGAGCAAGTGCCCAGATGAGATGCAAAGGCTTCAGGTTTTATCACGAGAGCCTTGGCAGGCTCCAGAATTCCCAAAGTGCCTTGAACGTACCCCCGCCACGGCCAGTGCCAGGCACTCAGGCCTATGCTCCCGGTTGGGTACACGGGGGCGCACCCAGCATGAGTGCAGGTCAGGAGAACAGGGCCCCCAAAGACGTATTACTGAGAGCGGTACTGCAGACTGGTATCCCAATAGTCATCTCAGGAAAAATCAGAATTTTGTTGGCTTTCCTTACACTTATTTGGGGGGTTCCCAGGTGGCTCTAGTGGTTAAGACCCTGCTTGCCAATTCAGGAGACATAAGAGACACGGGTTCGATCCCTGGGTCAGGAAGATCCTCTGGGGGAGGGCGTGGCAGCCCACTCCAGTATTCTTGCCTGGAGAGTCCCATGGACGGAGGAGAATGGACTACAGTCCATAGCGTCACAGAGAGTCAGACTCTACTGAAGCAACTTAGCACGCACACACACTTATTTTATGATTTCATTCAGAATTCTAAGGGGAAGGAACAATAAGGGTGAAACCATAACTGTTTCACAATTTAAGGACACTAAGGGCTGAATCTTGCTGGGATTAAGTCATATATTATACAACAGTAATTTTATTAATATTTTTCCCAAACCAAATTTTATAAATTCCCCAGTGATAAGAACAGTTACCATCTTGTTGTTCAGCAGTAATTAACACAACACTGTAAATCAACTATACTTGGATTAAAAAAAAGGAATTAGCTTTAAAAAAGCAAGTAACATGCCTTATTAATAAAATTTGAATGTCAAAAATAAATAAAATGCAATTATTGGGCTATTAAAATTAATTAATCTAAAAAAGAGTGGGGTAATAAAATTGGATTGAATAAGGTTTAAAAAGAAAGAACACTATCATATTTTTCTCTGTAGCCCTATATCTAAGCCAGGGCTAGAATACATAAGTTAGTCATTTATTAGTCATAAGTGAATTAGTCATAAAATGAATAAATAAATGAATAATTAGTGTTCTTTGTTCATTTCATTCTCCATTTCCTCCAATGGATTTCAACAGAACCCCAGTGAAACTGACTCAAATGTTTTAACTTACCAAGTATATTGCATGGGACTATGCATTCTGTTGGGGAAATAAATATAATACTAGGAAACCAAACTTTGTGGAGGCTTACTATAAATCAGACCGTGAACTACATGTCCTACCTAAGTTTTCTCATTATTTCCTACACAAACCCTGCAGTATCACTCTTGTTTCACAGATAAAAGAATCAAGCCTTAAAAGATTTAAGTGACTTATCCAACAACACACAATGAGTAATTGATTGATCCTGGATTTGAACCAAGGAGCCAAGCTCCAGAGCTTCACCATGAATTAACAGCTATCTGATTAGACTGCCCCAAAACAGAAATAATTTCAACATTGATTCACTGCACAAACACTTGGTGCACTTTCACCCCATACCAAGACATCTGATAATAATTAGGATAAAATAGCCAACACCATGGGTATGTTTGCTGCCCTCAGAGAGCTTGCAGTTCAGTGTGAGCTCAGAGCTGAGTCATGTAATCACACAAGTTCAGCGTGAGCACACCAGTAAGGATGGGCGTCACCAGGGTGGCTTCCCTGAGGAAATGGCAATTGTGCCCCAAGCTACAAAATGTGTAGGAGCTCATGACACATTGTGTGCTTGGAATCTGAAAAGATTGGAGGGAGATATCTTTTGTCGATTGGCTCATTTCTTAATCCACCTTGCTCAAAAAAAATTTTTTTGAAGTGGTTTGCAGAGTTATGTAAAATACCCAATTCCTTTTTTTTAAAAATTGGAGGATAATTGCCTTACAATATTGTGTTGGTTTCTGCCATATATCAACATGAATCAGCCACAGATATACATACATCCCCACCCTCTTGAACCTCCCTCCCACCTCCCACCATTCTAGGTTGTCACAGAGCACCAGATTTGAGCTCCTTACATTATACAGCAAATTTCCACCAGCTATCTATTTTACATATGGTAACTTATGTATTTCCATACTACTTTTTCAATTCGTTCCACCCTCCTCTCCCCCCTCTGTGTCCACAAGTCCAATCTCTACATCTGCATCTTTAGTTCTGCCCTGCAAATAGGTTCATCTATACCATTTTTTTTTAGATTCCATATACATGCGTTTATATAGGATATTTGTTTTTCTCTTTCTGACTTTCTTCACTCCGTATGCAGACTCCAGGTTCATCCACATCACTACAAATGACCGCGTTTCATTCCCTTCTATGGCTGAGTAACATCCCATTGTATATGTACCACCTTTTCTTTATCCATTCACCTGTTGATGGACGTTTAGGTAGTTTCTAGGTCTTGGCTATTGTGAATAGTGAACCTAGGGGTGCATGCATCTTCTTAGCTCTAGTTTTATCTGGATATATTATTTAAGTGACTTATCCAACAACACACAATGGGTAATTGGTTGATCCTGGATTTGAACCAAGGAGCCAAGCTCCAGAGCTTCACCATGAATTAACAGCTATCTGATTAGACTGCCCCAAAACAGAAATAATTTCAACATTGATTCACTGCGCAAACACTTGGTGCACTTTCACCCCATACCAAGACATGTGATAATAATTAGGATAAAATAGCCAACACCATGGGTATGTTTGCTGCCCTCAGAGAGCTTGCAGTTCAGTGTGAGCTCAGAGCTGAGTCGTGTAATCACACAAGTTCAGCGTGAGCACACCAGTAAGGATGGGCGTCACCAGGGTGGCTTCCTTGAGGAAATGGCAATTGTGCCCCAAGCTACAAAATGTGTAGGAGCTCATGACACATTGTGTGCTTGGAATCTGAAAAGATTGGAGGGAGATATCTTTTGTCGATTGGCTCATTTCTTAATCCACCTTGCTCAAAAAAAATTTTTTTGAAGTGGTTTGCAGAGTTATGTAAAATACCCAATTCCTTTTTTTTAAAAATTGGAGGATAATTGCCTTACAATATTGTGTTGGTTTCTGCCATATATCAACATGAATCAGCCACAGATATACATACATCCCCACCCTCTTGAACCTCCCTCCCACCTCCCACCATTCTAGGTTGTCACAGAGCACCAGATTTGAGCTCCTTACATTATACAGCAAATTTCCACCAGCTATCTATTTTACATATGGTAACTTATGTATTTCCATACTACTTTTTCAATTCGTTCCACCCTCCTCTCCCCCCTCTGTGTCCACAAGTCCAATCTCTACATCTGCATCTTTAGTTCTGCCCTGCAAATAGGTTCATCTATACCATTTTTTTTTAGATTCCATATACATGCGTTTATATAGGATATTTGTTTTTCTCTTTCTGACTTTCTTCACTCCGTATGCAGACTCCAGGTTCATCCACATCACTACAAATGACCGCGTTTCATTCCCTTCTATGGCTGAGTAACATCCCATTGTATATGTACCACCTTTTCTTTATCCATTCACCTGTTGATGGACGTTTAGGTAGTTTCTAGGTCTTGGCTATTGTGAATAGTGAACCTAGGGGTGCATGCATCTTCTTAGCTCTAGTTTTATCTGGATATATGCTCAAGAGTGGGATTGCTGGATCATATGGTAATTCTATTTAGTTTTCTGAGGAACCGCCGTACTGTTTTCCACAGTGGCTGCACCACTTTACATTCCCACTGATAGTGTAGGAGGCTTCCCGTTGCTTCACAACCTCTCCAGCATTTGCTATTTGTAGATTTCTTAATGATAGCCATTTTGACTGGTGTGAGGTGGTACCTCAATACAGTTCTGATTTGCCTTTTACTGTCATTAGCAATGTTGAGCATCTTTTCATGTCCCTATTGGCCAACTATATGTCTCCTTTGGAGAAATGTCTATTTAGCTCTTCTGCCCATTTTTCAATTGAGTTATTTGTTTGGAAGTCTGGAATGCAGCTCAGTCTTTTCATTTCGCTGATGAGTGAAGTCAAGATGTTTCACCAAGGCTGTTGGCTGGTCAGTGTCAGAGCTGGGACAGTCCCTTCCCGTGGTGCCTCCCACAACACTCAGCCTGAACAATGTGAGGGTCATGAACCACACAGGGGTTTCAACTTTGACTCTAACAACCACTTGCTCTAACTCTGGGATTAACTAGCTGCTGTCTCACATCTAGTAAAAAACCGTTCCATGCATACAAATACAGTAGTAATTGATTTGGTTCACTAGTAATTCACTTCATGGAACCATTGTGTCTCCAGTTTTCAGGCAGATACTCCCCTAAACATCAGACTGCATCTGTGAGCCTTATCATAGAGACAGTTTTTGAGTTATTTTAACAACTATCTGCTTGTAATAAAGAAACCCAGGGATTTCTCACAATACACGACTTCCTCCATCTACTCAGAGAGATTCCATTCCGTAAGCCATCTGGTCTGGTGGCTGAAAGCACAGACTTTGAAATCTAAAGCCAGTTGGATATGAATTCCATTCCAACTCTGCCTCTTTCTAGCTTATGACTTCCTACAGAATCTTTAACTCTGATGTCCAGCTTACATGAAAAAAATACAAAT